GTTGCTTAAAATATACTTTTTTAAAAAGATTCGTTTATTACACACACAGTGGTCTGTGTGCATGTTTGCCTGCACTCTAGAAGAGGGCACCGGATCTCATTATAAATTGTTGTGAACCACCATGTGGCTTCTGGGAATTGAACTCAGGGCCTCTGGAAGAACATCAGTGTTCTTAACCTCTGTGTCATCTCTCCAGTTCCCTAAATATTCTTTTTTAAATTTTAATGTGTATAGGTGTTTTGCCTACATATCTGTCTGTGGGCCATCCCCAACTTTCCAGTCCATTTGCAATAGTCTGAAGATCTCTTGCAATTTAATTCTTTACTTTTGTTTTGAATGAGTTTTTTCAGATTATTATTATTATTATTATTATTATTAAAAATTTTCACCTCCTCCCCTCCTCCCATTTCCTTCCCCTTCCCTCCATTCCCCCTCCTCCTCCCTCTCCTGTCCAAAAAGCAGTTAGGTTTCCCTACCCTGTGGGAAGTCCAAGGTCCCCCCCATCCCATTCTAGGAAGGTGAGCTTCCAAACAGACTAGGTTCTCACAAAGCCAGTACATGCAGTAGAATCAAAACCCAGTGCCATTGTCCTTGGCTTCTCAGTCAGCCCTCCTTGTCAGCCACGTTCAGAGAGTCTGGTTTGATCACACGCTCCATCAGTCCCAGTCCAGCTGGCCTTGGTGAGTTCCCATTAGATCAGCCCCACCATCACAGTGGGTGAATGCATCCCTCGCAGTCCTGACTTCCTTGCTCATGTTCTCTCTCCTTCTGCTCCTCATAAGGACCTTGGGAGCTCAGTTCAGTGCTCCAGTGTGGGTCTCTGTCTCTATCTCCATCCATTGCCAGATGAGGGTTCTATGGTGATATGCAAGATATTGATCAGTGTGGCTATAGGATAGGGCCAGTTCAGGTGCCCTCTCCTCATCTGCTCAAGGAACAAACTGGGGACATCTCCTTGGACACCTGGGAACCCTTCTAGAGTCCAATCTCTTGCCAACCCTAAAATGGCCCCCTTAATTAAGATCTATACTTCTCTGCTCCCATATTCACTTTTCCTCCATCCCAACCATCCCATTGCCCCAATCTCTCCCCATCCTCCCCTTCTCACTTCTCTCTACCCATCTCCCCTTACCCCCACCCCACCCCCATCCCCAAGGCTCTCAATTTTTGACTAGCAATCTTGTCTACTTCCAATATCCAGGAGGATAACTACATGTTTTTCTTAGGATTCACCTTTCTATTTACCCTCTCTAGGATCAAGAATTATAGGCTCAATGTCCTTTATTAATGTCTAGAATCCACTAATGAGTGAGTACAAAATACTATCCTGAGTGAAGTAGCCCAGACCCAAAAAGTTGAATTAGTTTTTTATCTAAGGGTCAGGTCTTTTGATGACAATGAGGTATTGAAGTGAACCACTATGAACATATCTGTACATATTTCTCTGTTCATGTCTAACAATGTTTATTTATATGCTTCCTAAGTGGTGCTTATATTTATTACTCCAAGTTATTAACAAATTGGTGCTCATATTAATACGTTGTAGCTCGTTTTATCTAACCCAATCTTTGGTAAGGTAATTTAACTGCCCATGGTTAGTGTTTGTCTTCCGTGTGCTTTGTATATTGTCTTACATCTTTTATTTTCAGTCTCTTTGCCAGTGATTTATTTATTGTAGACAAAAATCAGTTTGACCCTGCTGTGAACCTGCACAGTTGGTCTTTGTCTTATGACTAGAGAGTGCAGACTATTAATAGATGGGTTATTTCAGGGAGCTACTTGTTGATTCTGGTAATTTTTCTGGCTGTTTATGTTTGATTGGATTGTTTGTTCATTTCTTTCTCTATATCTTTTTGGAATTTGCTGGTTTTGTGAATTCGCATGATTGACTTGTTCCTGGTTTGCCTTTATTTATGTCTTCACCTTTTTCTTGTACACTCACAATTAAGAGAGTCTTCCTTCAAACAGAGCATATTGATGCATGGCTGGAATCCCAGAACTTGGGATTTAAAGGAACACCATGAGGATGGTGTTCAAGGCCAACCTCAGTGATACACTGACACAACGTAGTGCGGTGGTTCTCAACCTGTGGGTAACGACCCCTTTGGGTGTCAAACAACCCTTTCACAAGGATCACCCTTGGTAAACACAGATATTTACATTATAATTCAGAACAGTAGCAGCATTACAGTTGTGAAGAAGCAATAAAAATAAGTTTATGGTTGGGGTCACCACAACATCAAGAACTGTGTTAAGGGTCACAGCATGAGGAGGGCTGAGAACCACTGCTTTAGTGTCGGCTTCATTTCCATTCTATTTTTTTTCATTCATCACGAGGCCTGCTTGCTGCTAGGCTTTCCCCACACATGTCTCATTTTTATTTGCTCTCACAGGATTCACTTGCTGTCCCTGGAAAGTACTCAACTGTGGGGAAGCCCAGTACAGTCCAGGCAGAAACACAAGGCCACCACAGTGTCACATCACACCACAGGCCTCTGCAGGAGGTCCTGCCCTTCAGTCTGGGAAAGCATGCCTGGGCAGAAGTCTGTGCAGACACTAGAAGATCTTATGTCACATGTCTCTGCACATAGGCATAATTATACTCTTCATATTAGGAATGACTATGGCTATACCTTCATGGTTAGAGTATTCTCACCTCTTTAGAGGAAAAAAAAACCCTTGAATTAGCAAGTTGACTAAATGCACAGCCTCAAGAGAAACCAAAGGAAACAGCTGGGCATGCCGGCACTCAGGCAGCCTCAGTTCTCAGGAGACTGAGGGAGAAGAATCAAAAGTGTGAAAAGTGTGGATGTGAGGACCTCCTAGGGTCAACAGCGAGGCCCTGTCACAAAATAAAAAAATGAAAAGCAAAGCCCATAGACTTTGATATTTTTCACAGAAATATCAAAAACTTTCAAAATGGTAACAGAAAAGAAGTTCTGGTATGTGTGTGTGTGTGTGTGTGTGTGTGTGTGTGTGTGTGTGTGTGTGT